ACACACACACACACACACACACACACACTACACACACACACACACCACCACCACACACACACACACACATATATATATATATATATGTGTGTGTGTGGTGTGTGTACCGATACACATATTTGAGCGTGTTGTGTGTATCTCCGTATCGATAGTCAGCAAATTCTTTAGAGCAAGCCGAGTTGGGTCTGCTGCTTGACAGCCGCCGGCACGCAACACACAACACATACACACACACGCATTTCAACTATCTCATATATACCCACATAAGCATCTACATCCATAAGGCATACATACACCTGCGTATGAGACTGTATACAAAACATCCTTATACGAGGGCCTCGAGTGTACCTCAGTATCCTTAGTCAGCAACTCCTTGAGAGCGGTACTAAGTTTGGTCAGTTGATTGGCAGCGGTCATCATTGCGGAACCTGTAGGCACCCGCGAGCACTCTTCGATCTGATTGGACAAGGGGGCCGTCAGATTGAGCATTCACTCACATACATAACAACGAACAAGGCAGGAATACACGTGCACATTGATAAATATATTTATCAATGTTGGGCTTATCCTAGAAACTTAAACCCTATACCCTTTATCAATTTTGGGCTTATATTATGTACTTGTGATTGTACTTGTTCTTGTGTTTGTGGTTGTGCTAGTGTTTGTACATACTTCAACGTATAGCTGCGTGCACAGGTGTGTATCTATGTATATATACATCTGCATACATTCCGCGCCAAGAAAAGCTATGAGTCCATGATATAGTATTCGATGCAAGAAACATGGGCCTTCTATGTCGTGTATATATGCGCATGCCCATTCATAAACACATATGGCAGTGCTTGTACATGCGATAGTCATACAAATGCTTACCATTCACAAACCCGTGTATATGTAAGTCTACATACATTTGGCTTCACGCTACAATCAGTTCATGCATAAATAAATATATACTTGTTCATACGTGTACGTAGTTGTCAAGCATGCACTTACACGGCCATTCACAGACCCATGTATATGTACGTCTACATACATTTTGCTTCAAGAAGCCAGTAAACTTGTATATATGTTTATATACTTGCCAAGTGCATACTTGCATGTCCATTCACAGTCCCGTGTATATATACGTTTACATACGTTTTGCTTCAAGAACCCAATGAGTTCGGGTTTGACCTTTGTGTTCGTTTGCTGTGCGTACTCTCGCACATCCGCTGTGAAACGTTTTAAAATACTTTTTGTGTGCGGAATGTTTGCGTACGGGTGGCGATTGAGGTCGAAGGGCAGACTTTGTGAAACCTGCGAATGAACAGAGATGGTTTTAGTTGTATGTAAACCAGGTTTTAATAAGGTATCTGTCAGGATTTTACTTTAATGCGACATGGTTGCATACGGTTGGCGCATGAGGAGAAAAGACAGGCTTTGCAACAGCTTGCGAAGAGATAGAGAAGGGTTTATTATGTTTGAACCAGGTTTATGTCAAGCTACAGCTGAGAATTGCTTTAGATGTACATTCACAGAGGGGGATCGCTTAAGACCACGCAACTGGCCGTGCGGAAACTGCGGACATACGGGAAGATTTTGTCAGGGCTAAACCAATTTAACCTACTAACAGGTAAAAACCAAGTCTAGCCTATATGGAAGCCAGATTGCTCTGGAATATGTACAGATTGCTATCCGCGACACTTAAGCAACACGTTTAGTGTTCGGGAACATCCGCGCAGCGGTGACAGCTAAGGTCAAACAGAAGCTCTTTGTACTTTTGCACGCTACCACACACAGATACACCGGATTCGTCAGTGGCACTTCTCAGACTCACGTATACCTACTTTGATCTGCAAGTGCATCTATTTATATCCACCAATCAACAACAGCCTTCATACCTGAGAAAGACCTCGCTCGGTTCTGGTGCGTTGTGTGACAAAGAGTGGCAAATTGATAGGCGCGAGGGGTTGGGACACAAAGGCTTTCGCTACATCCGGTCCTAACACGCCACCCAACCGAACCTAAATATAGATCATCAGACAACAACGGGATCATAACAGGGTGAGTGTCGAACTATATTCAATTCACGCTAAGCAGTATGCGCAAGTACACACACACACACATATATTATATACATATATA